GCTGCACATCTAGCCCCCTGAGTATCACAATAAAATGTCCCACTGCATATCACAAAAGTGGAGGAATGGGAAATTTTTCAAATTAGTCTTTTTAAGTATGCCTTCTACAAGTGCAGCCACAACTCAACTGTTTGGAGTTAGGTTTTCTATGGAAACAAGAATTCTTTTGGGAAAGGACTGCAATAATTCTGTAAGGTTTATTTACTTTCAGAAATAAGACATGTTTCAAAATGTGAGCTACAGGCAAACTATAGGGAATATCCAGGTTTTGTTTCTGATAAATTGCAAACCAGCTTCCCAGTTCACATATGAAAGCTTCAGATAAGAACTGCACAATATATATATATACAATAGGGAGCCAAAGAAGGTAAGGTTGTTGTGTTACATCTGTGGAAAGTTGAGAGCCCCTGAGGATTTAAACATTTTTCTTATGTTTTATGGCATGACTGTGTATGAAAACAGGCTCTATTAATTTCATTAGCTTGCATGCAACTGCAGTATTGCCTGAAACAGAAGACAGAAGGAACATTGCAAGAGATGCTGGGTTCACAAAGTGCTCTACGAAATGCAGTACCTTGGGAAGAAGGGTCTCTCAGAATGCTATGATCAACATTTCACAGAAATTCCGTTTCTTGATATTACTTTGAACTGTTACTGGTGGTCATTTTCTGGGGCATTTTGCTAATAATCAGTGCACTAAATATGTCTAACTTTTCTGAACCATTTGAACAGCAATGCTATTCACTCTGAAATCAATGGTAAACTTCCTAATAACTTCAAAAAAGGATGAGATAAACCTATTGACATGTATGAAAATAAACACAAATTTTCCCGTTGTAAAGGAGGCCGTATTTAGTTTTGAATAAGGGAAAGGAACACGGTCTTCAGAATTTAGTGCCAAAGGTGGAAATCCTAACAGGCAGTATGGCTCTGTTCTTAATTAATTATTTAACTACAGGGCATTGTTTTAGCTTTCTACTCAAACAGCACAGCTCACTGAATTCTAGTCAAAAGTCACCACTTTCCCTATGCTACAATCTAGCAATAAAAAGCACTCCAGGGTGACACTTAACACACCAGTTAATTTTCTATAAACTGCTGGATTTCTTTCTTACTTGGTCTCAGTATGGCAGGAAATAGACAAAGTGTTTATTTTAATGAGAGGGTATTCTGGTTGCGTAATTCAACATCGATTGTAACGTCATTACTGACAATCAGAAGTTTTAATAGCCTCTAAGGATAGTCTATGACCAAAAATACAAGTTAAAAGTTAAAATGCAATAAATGCCATATTTATGAGATTCTAATGCTCACCCATCTTAGTGAAATAGCCCTGCTAAAACAAGGGTGTGTATTAGAATCGTGTAACATGCCTCCCTGCTTGCCAAGGCCAGCATAGCTGAGCAGGAGGCCCCAGCAAGCTAGGGTGAAGGAGGCTACCGAGACTGCCTTTGCTGTCACTACCTCCTCCTCTTCCTCCTCCTCCACTTCGGGGCCTGTGGCTAGCAAGGAGGCCGGCCTAGACGAGGCAGCAACCCAGGCAAGGAGAAAGATGCAAAGGCAGCCGCTCACCGCAGGTCTCTGGAGCTGAGGAGACTGCTCCTCCGCCACATTTGCCTCTTCCTCTGAGGCTCTGAGGGCCACTCACTACTTTGTTGCCCCACCGCAGGCCCCAAGGAGGCTACTGCTCTCCCTCCTCCTCCGCAGGCACCTTCATCTCTTCATCCCTGGCTTGCAGAGAGCAACCAGAAAAAGCACCTGCAGTGGATGCAGGGTCTTTGGCGCAACCAGTGCATGAGGCATGAGCAGGATCTTCGGCAAGAGTGAGGCCAGCAGAGAGTGCTATGAACAGCCAGAACACAGAAAGCGGATGGCAAAGGCATCAAAGCAGAGGAGGAGGTGGTGGCGGCTAAGGCAGAGAAGGCAGCCTACTTCACCCTGGCTTGCCGGTGCTTCTCCCTCAACGGAGCCAACTTTGGCACTGCCACCACAGAGCTCCTTTTCTTTTCTCTCTCTTTCTTCCACCTTTCCTTCTCTCTGCCTGTTTTTTCTTACACCTTCCTGCTATTCTCTTTGTCTCTCTCTGTCTATTCTTTCACAGCTCCTTTCTCCCCTTCCTTCTTGCACATTCTTTCTATTCTCTTTCCCTCTGTCTATTTTTTCAAGGCTACTTTCTCCCCTTCCTTCTTGCACCTTCTTTTCATTCTCCTTCCACTACGCGTTACATTCACCAGCAAATCCTTTTTTTGTTTTGTTCCAGTGTCTTGAAAATTGAGGTGCGTATTAAATTTGATGGTGCACTAGATTTGAATAAATATGGTATTTTTTACCATGAAAATATTCATGTAAATTATATAGAGACATTTTAAGCATGAGGTTATTACTCTGGAGAAAGCACAAAGCAATACTCGAAAGAAAACCTGACTTCAAGTTAGCATTCCCAATTAATCTTATTCAAATGTTCTACTTTCAACATTGCAATACCACACTTACAAATATAATTTTGGGTTATTTTGAAGCTGTGGGAAATGACTTTTTCTGGAATATATAAAATCTAGTTTGCTCATAAAATTATCTTGTTTAAATTAAAAATATAGAGGCAACAATTGAATTTACTTTTAAATGCTTTTGAATTTTGATGAAAGTACAACTATAAGTTTATGATTTATCTCCTTATTTTTTGCCATGTTATGAAAAGCAGATAAAAGGTGAGAACTGAAAATAGAAGAAACTGTCAAGATTATACTAGAGCAAAGAAAGTTGTTACGTATTTTGAATTTAATCACTTCAAGTGTAAAGAAAAAACAGCGCACATTTAATTTCAGAAAAAGAGATGAGAGAAAAGGGAATCTCCCAAGACTGAATGAATATCAGTTTCGCTAAATGAAATTTTGTTTAATTCTCATCATTTCTGAACTATAACTATTAGCAGTATTTCCTTCTTCTGACCATTCATTTAAATTGTTTTCATAGGTGTCTGAAAATTAAACTATCTAGCTCCTTCTTCAAGCAGACAGGAACATGCATAGAGTGGTAACAGGCACATGGAGTGGTATTGATGGGCTTAGGGAGAGCAAAAGGAGAGCATTACCACTCCTCATAAGAATTCTGATTCCAAAAGAATTTCTAGCACTGCAACAAGGTCTAATTTCAACTGACAATTTAGATATATAGTTTAGTCAACCAAAGAAAATGGGCAGGCAAAATTAACATGGGACTACAAGCACAACAAATATGCTCAGTTCTTGTGGTTTTTTTCGGGCTATATGGCCATGTTCTAGAGGCATTTCTCCTGACGTTTCACCTGCATCTATGGCAAGCATCCTCAGAGGTGAGGTCTGCTGGAGCTGGGAAAAATGGGGTTTATATATCTGTGGAATGACCAGGGTGAGACAAAGGGCTTTTGTAAGTTGGGCTAGGTGTGAATCTTTCAACTGACCACCTTGATTAGCATACAATGGGATGCTAATCAAGGTGGTCAGTTGAAAGATTCACACCTAGCCCAACTTACAAAAGCCCTTTGTCTCACCCTGGTCATTCCACAGATATATAAACCCCTTTTTTTCCCATCTCCAGCAGACCTCACCTCTGAGGATGCTTGCCATAGATGCAGGCGAAACGTCAGGAGAAATGCCTCTAGAACATGGCCATATAGCCCGAAAAACCCACAAGAACTGAGTGATTCCAGCCATGAAAGCCTTCGACAATACATACAACAAATATGAGTTCTATGTGTTGCTATCTCTGTCTCTGTTGTGCTAGAAATTAAAAAAATCCATGGGGGGAAAAAATCTCATTTGGAGGGACAATATGCTCACACAGCCCCTTCTGTCCATTACTACAACCCTGCACTGCATTGTATCCCAGTTTGAATTTTCATGCTATTCAAAACGGATACCTCCCTGACAGTTCCCAATGAAGATGACATCAGATCTTATCTACTTCCTTCTGAAGTTTACCATTACGCTTGAAATCTGGAGTAAAAAACAATATTCTAGATAACCTGTTTTAAAAGTATCCCTTTGTTTCCAAACAATTAAACATAAAGGAGGTGTTTCATTTACAAAGCAAATCAGATTAGGATTCCCTTTCCTGTGCTATGTAATTTATTGGGAGTCAATAAATTACAACTTGACTAAATTTCTCAGAGAGAAGAACACTTTAAAAAATCTTGGCACTGGGTGCTCTCATAAACTCCACTCAATTTGGCAAACTTTAGCCACATAAAGATCAGGAGAAAGTAAGCTGCACCTGCAGTATGATAGCAATCTGTCTCTGTTTACAAGAACCAAACTTAGCTTATCTCCAAGTGTCAGATTGTTGGCATTGCACCTACCTTCCAGTCTTATACTTCCTGCTGCCCAGTTTTTTGACCCTGCCATTGGTTTCTGTCTCTGCTGCCAGATTCTGCTTTAACTCATCTCTGCCAGACAATGAATTCCTTATCTCATCTCTTCTGTCTTCCATGTTTATTTTCTCATTGTTCAACACCTGGCATTGGCTATTATTGCTGTGTAGAGACGTGAGATCAGCCACCTATCTGAAAATGCTGCAGATCCTTATTGAAAATCTTGTTAGCTAGACAATAACTATTTTAGTTCTGGAGGGCAGAAAGGACAATCTCTGAACACTTCAAATAAAGAGGGGAGCACTTGGTGTTGAACATAAGCTTTTAACGTCATTCTAAAGTTATATAAGAAGAGACTGACAGTATTTCCCACAGGCTGATTCCAATCATTCATCTTTCTAACTGCATCTGTAAAACAGATCATTTATAAAAATGAATTAAGCACACAAACTGCATTAAGCATATATTTGTAAGGATCTAAGGTTATAATTGCAAGCAAAGTTATTAAAGTACAAATCATTTTGAAATATAATGTGTCTTTCTCAAAAAAACAATCTTAGGATCGTAGGGCAGATCCCCATTTAAGTACCCAACTTTCTTCTATGTTCTCTGTAATGCCTAACAGATCTCTATTGTTCTTTTTGTTTGTTACCTGGAGTAGTGAATAGCTTGATGTCCAGCAATATTAAAATAAAAATCAGTTGTATGTTTCATCTCATCAGTGTGCCCAGAAACTTCAATCCAGTGCCCTATTGGGAGGCAGTAAACTCCATCAACCAAGTTGCTTGGGTTATAAACACTACATCGATCATGGTGGGGCCCATTACCTGAAAGTCAAGCACACACACTACATGTCAACATAGTTCAAGGATATAAACATGAAGATCTTTGAATTTATTAGATTTCTATGCAGCGACACATTTCCAGAAAGCCACAAGGTTAGTTAGAAAAGAGGGACAATCATCCAAGGGTAATCATCTTTTAAAGCATACCTGAATACTTGATGAACTGAATTATTTCATGTATGAATTAGAAGAACTCAATAATTTCGTATGTGCGCATAATGGCTCCGACCAATACAGAGCTGGGTATATTTAACTTTCCCTGATTTTGGCTGAATACACACACACACACATTTCTGGGAAGGTACAAAACAGATTTTTTCTTCATTTTTATTAGAGTTCATTTCTTTCCACGGTATATTGCTTAATATACCAGGTTTTCCAATGTTTTTACAATTTTTATTAAAATTCCACAGCTTTAGATATGCAATACCTATTGAGGAGATAAGCAAAAAATTAGGTTCTATGTGAACTGACCTAAACATCACCAATCATCATGCTACTTTAACACCAGTGATTTATACAATGTAGTATAGATATCATTTAAGTGGTGGATTCTTTCCCTATGTAGGCATAACAGTTGCATATGCTGAAGGAAAAATGGCAGGTGCCACGGTTTGGCGCGGTTACTTCTGAAATCTGTGGCCTGAATCTGTACACCTAAAGTCCCAATTTAGAAATCTAAATTGAACTTTTTACAGCTCTCAAATGGGCAATTGATGAAAGAGCTAGTTAATTCTAGTTGAAAGTTACACAAAGTGAGATGCAATGGGTTAGAAGACACTAGTTTCATAAAACAAAGGTGGGTGAAGGAAACTAGAAAAAATATCAAAGATGGATCAAAGTGCCACATTACTCTACTTGGGAATAAATCCTACTAATCCAAGTACTTACTCCTGAGCAGATTTTGGAGGAAATTACATTTTTTTTCTATACTGAGATTCAAGAGAAACCTTCCATCTCCTAGGGCCCTTCCGCACAGCCCTATATCCTAGAATATCAAGGCAGAAAATCCCACATTATCTGATTTGAACTGGAATATATGGCAGTATGGACTCAGATAACCCAGTTCAAAGCAGATGTTGTGGGATTTTCTGCCTTGATATTCTGGGATATAGGGCTATGTGGAAGGGCCCTATGTATCTAAGGAGGATATCATGCTTCATGTGGTTAAACTCAGTTAATGCACAGAGCACACTCCTTATGAACATGGCCTCTTTTTATTGAATTCTTTCCCCAGAACCTGCCATAGCCAGCCCAACCACTACGGGGAGGGAATTGCCACAGACAGCAGATATTGGGTGTCTTCCCACATCACACCATATGTACTTCATATCTAATTTGCTGCTGCTGCAGTTTGATTCTCAGGGCCCTTCCACACAGCCCTATATCCCAGAATACAAAGGCAGAAAATTCCACAATATCTGCTTTGAACTGGGTTATCTGAGTTCACATTCAGATAATGTGAGATTTCCTGCCTTGATATTCTGAGATATAGGGTTGTGTGGAAGAGCCCTCAATGACAGGAAGAGGTGCTTCTAAGTTTTTAAATCTCTCATACACCAAAGCTTTGGATGCTGTGAATTTTAATTTGGGCAATTGCTTTGATGATGAGGGTGAAAGTGAATATGGTGTGCCTTCTCCCTCTATTTTTTTTCCTTCAGTAAAGCTTGAAACATTTCCCTTTCTCCTTTTAATACCATCATTTTAATGCAGCCAAATTTTTAGTGTGTTTTTATCTCTTTTATAATAATAAGAGATTTTATTATAATTATAAGACATGCCCAGTTTGCTGGCTAAAATGGTCCCAAGCAGTAGTTCTTATACTGTAGCCCAGAAGGTAGGCAAAGCAGGAATGCTGGGTGTAAAAGCTCTAACCTTCTGAGCTGTTTCTGCAACCAAGTGTTACTGTGTTGCTCTGCTGTAGCAGATAATATCACATACATTCTTCTCTTTCTCTAAGACCACTTCTACACAGCAGTATAAAATCCGGATTATCTCCTTTGAACTGGATGATCTGGCAGTGTAGACTCAGATAATCCAGTTCAAATCAGATAATTATCCGCCTTGATATTCTAAATTATATGGTAGTGTAGAAGGGCCCTAAATCTGTCGGTGATCAAGACAGCCCCTGTCCTAAAACCAGGATTGTCATACAGGTTGTCAAAATATCACCGGATAATATTTTGCCTGTTGTGTGTCTTCAAATTGTTTTCACTTTATGGAGATAATTGTTGAGGGGGGGGGGTTGTGTTTGCTTTCCTCTGAGGCTGGGAGAGTGTGCCTTAAGCAAGGTCACGTAGTAAGATTCCATGGCCATGTGGGGATTCGACCTACTTGATCTATTATTATATAAATAATGGGTTTATTCATGCAAAGGATTGAAATGACCAAGAATTTCTATTTATTATCACTTATGTGTACAGTGGGAAGACCTGTGACTTGTTGTTTAGTTTTGATATTCAGCAATCTGAATGCACACAAATATCTGAAATGTGTAGTTCCAGAAATCTTGGCCACTCTTCAGTTTCTACATTTCCTTCTTTCCTGTAACCAAAGTTTAAAACACAACAAATTTAATGTGTCTTTCTACTCACCCTTCCTGCACTTGCTGAATAATAAATGAAACACAAACAAAAATCACCTGGAAATGGGGCTGTTTACAAAACATAGCTCAATTGAAAGCGCATTGTAAAACATAGCTCAATTGGAAAATACATTTTCCACTCATCTTGATAGTTTTTATTTTTTTATTTGAACAAATGTAAATTTAAGAGTTTTTTGTTTTTAAAAAAGCATTCTCGTGGCATGAAACAAAACACAACTTTGTATCACATAATTTATAACTCAAAGATCTGGATCCTAAATGAATTTAATTAGGGATTGAGAGCCCATATATTGTGATTAGAAGAAAGAGACATTAGTCACACAACTACACCCCTCCTCTCTCTCCCTTCCTTCTCTTCCTGAGAGCTTGGAAACAGCATTTCTCCTCTGATCTTTTGTGTTGCTCCAAATCTGAGGTCCATCTACATTGACATATAGAACAGTTCCATAATGGAGTTTAACTGCATTATAGGACAGTGTAGACTAGTATAATGGTCTGAATCACCAAGAAAACCAACAGCTCAATTCAATCCTGTTTCAGAGGATCAGGAGCATACATTTTCTTGATTCTCTCTCAATCAGTACAATATTGTTGGGGATTCCTGCTATTTCAACTCATCTAAATCCCAAACACCTCCCTTTGTTCCAAAGTAGACTAGTGGAGTCATGATGGAGGACCTAGAGCAGTGTTTCTCAAACTCTGCTTCTCCAGATGTTTTGGACTTCAGCTCCCACAATTCCTAACAGCTGGTACGATTGCTGGGATTTCAGGGAGCTGAAGTCCAAAACACCTGGAGAAGTACAGTTTGAGAAACACTGGCCTAGAGAGGTGTTCTCTCCAGTAAAAACAGTATTGTTATTCTTGTTTTTTTCCACTTTCACAGTGGTCCTAACCCCAACAAATGTGGAATGCTTACTGAATTATATTTGTCTTGTCTGCACATCTCTGCCAAATATTTGTGTTTCCAAATCCATTGTATATATACCATATATTAGGAATAAGCCGACCTGAATATAAGACGAGACACCTAATTTTATCAGAAAAAAAACTGGGAAAACGTATTGACTCAAGTATAAGCTAAGGGTGGGAAATGCAGCAGCTACTGGTAAATTTCAAAATAAAAATAGCTACCAATAAAATTACATTAATTGAGGCATCAGTAGATTAAATATTTTTGAATATTTACATAAAGCTAATTTAAGATTAGTCTGTCCAACTCTGATTAAATCATTGTTCTAACCTTCTTCAATGTAAATGTGCTTACATATCCTTCCAATAATCACCATAGTTTATTTTAACCATACATTTTGGGGTAAATGCTGTGTGTATATGAATAAGGAAAAATGGGAAAGACTGGCGTCGAGAGAGGAGAGGAAGGCACACGCTGCACCGAGAGAGGAGAGGAAGCCCTTCTTTAAGCCCCACACCTTCCCGCCAGGACCCTCACCTGAGTATAAGCTATGGGGGGCCTTTTCAGCCTAAAAAAAGGCCTGAAAAACTAGGTTTATACTAGAGTAATATACAGTACTTTTAACATGGCCATCTGGCAACAGCCTGAATATTCCACACAGAAGAAATTTTATTTGTAAAGATCTAAGAGGAAAGCAACTGAATCAACCACTGCCAGACATTAGAAAGAAAACTAATGGTTCTTCTTGAAAAGAAGTTTTATTTCAGTTTGGATTCTGAGCTTATGTTGGACTCTGAACTTCAGTCCTTTTTTAAAAAACAAACAAACAACAAATTCCACTGCTGTTCAAAGATTCTTCCATGCAACTTTTTTGCACACAACCACATTCAAGAACAAAGCAATCAGCAAAGTCTGCCTTACAAATCAATCTTTGAGAACAGTTATTTCTTTCAAAGCCTCTAGGACTGCCCAGATGGCTCCTGGCATGATGTATAAGAAAGATGATCAAGCTGGCATATAAAAAAGCCACTGGCTTTATTGCAAAGCAGATTAAAACAAAGATCTCTGAGCAGTGCACAGTTCATAAGGGAGAGGGGAACAAACAAGAATACAAAAAGTGGATAAGATATGATCAAAAGAGATAAATAATCCAGTGTAGCTAAAGATCAATGGTGGGAGGAAAAACATAAGCTCCAACACCAAACAGAGAGAAAGTGTTTTTAAAAATCAAAAGAGTTAAACCGAAGCACATAGCACAGCTTTGTGGAATGCTGTGTATGGAAACCTGTACTGTGAGCTGCTAAGAATCCAAGAATAAATCCAGCCATTCACAGGCTCTTCAAACTCCTTACATCCAATTTTCTTTCTTGAAAAATATATTAAGTCCCAGCCCTAACGATTGCAATGAGAGAGAAAAGACAAAGGTGGCAATGTTTCTGAAATAAATATTGAGGTAGCCAATGAAGC